CCTAAGTACAGAGCCACTGGTCCCTGTCGCTCTGATGGCAGAAATCACGTGTTCCCCCAGCGTACAGTTTTTCAGAATGAACTCCAACATGGCTTTGTGTAGTGAAATAAATCCACAGAGCTTATAAGGAGAATTTAAATTTACAATTGGTCATCTCCCATCCCTCCTAAAGCCTCGCATAGACTGTAGACATGCTTATCTAGAAGATTCTGTCAGCCACTGAGATAAACTGCAGCCTGTATGTCCTGAAACAGAGGTCCCCAAGACACAAAAAGACACTTGAAAGGGAGGCCGAAAAGATCAAATAAATCAACTGCATCATTATCCAACTTTGTAGAAATCTGTAAGGGGGATTTTAAATGTGTGGAAGATGTTTGCTATGAACAGACTAATATTCCTCTTTGATTCAGTAACGGTCTATTAGAAAACAAAGGTTATTTGGTGTAAGTTCTGTGAGTCAAATTGAATTTATTTTAAATTTTTTTTTAGTTGTCAATGAACCTTTATTTTATTTATTTATATGCGGTGCTGAGGATCGAATCCAGTGCCTCACACATGCTAGGCAAGCGCTCTGCCACTGAGCTACAACCCCAGCCCTGAGTCAAATTGAATTTTTATAGTTTATTGATCAAAAACTATAGTAAGGCTCTGTCAGTACATGGCTGCTTTGTATAAGACTTCTGATTTCCATGAGTCAACTTATATTTCCTCCAAACACAAGTCCTGGAAGGAGACTTGGTCCCTGCCGGTCTCTGAGTCAGTAATATAAAGAATGGTCTCCCAGGTGGATCCCAGATCAGTTCTCTTCACAGTTATAGAAAGACATGCAAGGTGGGGGAGAGAGGAAAGTAACATTAGGAACACAGCTCGGAGAAAGGTAGAGGGAGGTGTCCCTAAGTAGGCTGTGACGCCTTCTGAATGTTGTATCATGTGACTATATTCCCAAGAGAATCGTTGGTTCTACTTTATTTGCTTCATGAAGACAGCTATGGTTCAGAAGACTTGACTGTCTCAGAAGGAAACAAGTGCATCGTAAAGAAGAGCCAGAAAAAATTCTAGATAATCACGAATTTGTACATCTCATCTTGGCCATCCAGGGCCTTCTGTTGTACATCTTGGAGAAAGAGGCCACTGCAGGTGGCTGACACCCTCACCCCAGGAGCTGAACACCTGCAGCCTTCCCTTCCCCTGCTGAGGCCCTTCAGAAGCCTTGGCAGGAACAGGAATTTGTTGGGTTTATCACTTTACTGTGAGGCTCTCGATGATAATAGCCATCACCTGGCAACCAGAGGGAGCTTGGTCTTAGAAGGTGAAGCAGGTCCCAATTCTGGGCAGCTGGAGGGCAGGGCAGGGCTGCTTGAAGGTCTTGGGAGCCTAGGGGCTCTCAGCGGAGGCTGGTGGGCAGGGCAGCCAGGGGAGAGAGGGTGGACCTGAAAACTAGAATCCTGTAGGCAAGAGGAGGAGTCTGGCTGTGTGGGGCAGGGACCCACCCATCTGGCTGAAGAACATCTGTTCATTCACACAAAAAGATGACATCCAGAGGGTGTATCTAGGAGGCCATCTGGACACCAGGAGACCAGCCTCAGGAGATCCCGTGCAGAATAACAGGAAACCAAGCCCAAGCAGGTGGGACTCAGGAGACCATCTGGGACTTGGGAGCAAGGAGAGAGCCAAAATGACCTGCAGCATCCAGGCACGGGTCCCTCAGTGCCCTGGACCCACAGAGACCCGTTGGAGGGTGAGAACCAGTTTCCTAGTTGTCACCAACACAGAATCTGTCATGCAGAGAGCAACAGCGAGCCTGTTTCTGGGACCCGAGCCAGGGATCTGACTGAGGCCAGCCCAGGATGGGCTGCAGATGCTGCACGGGGCTTGGGAGCCTGAAGGTCCTCTAAGAAGGGGTCCGTCTAGAACAGGTCACTAGAGTGCAGGGAAGGAAAGTTGGAGGCAGAGAGCCAGGAAGGGAGGGGAGAAGGGACAGTAAAGGCACAGGAGGATGTGTGGCATCATTGAGAGTTCTCCAGATTTTAAAAAATTCTCAAAAATTTATCCCCAAACCACATTTCCTTAAATATATGGATGTACAAATGTTGCCTTTTAAGTTGTGTGTGTGCGACTGGTGTGAAGGTTGGAAGGTGTGCCTCAAAGCGCATCGTATAACTAGAGAGCAGAGTAGGTTTCTGCTGAAGCCATTGCTTAAAAGAGATTAAAACCATAATTTTCTGCTTCACCGTCCCAAATTTTCCCAGTGCAAAATTTCTGCTGTTCCTTAAAAGATCTGTAACCCTGTAGCTCTGTCAGGTCAACATGCTGGCTTTGGGATGGTGAAAATGTTCTGGAAGTAGAGAACGGTGCCGGTTGAACAATCATGTGAATGTACTAAAACCACTTAATGGCACTTTACTAAATTTGTGGTATGTGAATTATATCTCAGTTTTTATTGTTGTTGCTGTTTTTTGGTGGGGAGAGACATGTCTGGATGTAAAGTCATGGTAAGAAGCTTGGGAGGGAGAAGAGGGTTTGAAGGCATAAAGCTGTATAAAGTCTGTTTGAGCCTTGGGACAGCTGGTCCATCTAGAAAGTAGTGAATCCTCACTTCTGTGGCTCCTGGGTCAGGCGCTGGATGGGTGCATGAATCACAGCCACAATCCCGAAGGTGGAGGAGAAGTGTCCATGTGTTCAGTCAAATGACGTTCAACAGGCACCAGGCCTGGAGCCCAGGACAGAGCCAGTGGCATCTGACACTGCTCCTGCCCTTTCCCCAAATTCCCCTAGAAAGCACCTTAATGGTGTGTCACAGAGACAGAGTACGTGCACATCACACAGACCCTGCTGTAGATTTCTCCTGGGCCAGAAGCAATTGATAACCTTTGTTGTCTGAAACCTGCCGCCCACGCGCTCATCCTGCTTGCGTGCTACCAGCGTGCACCAGTCCCAGGGCTCACGTCAGGCCTGTCAGACACAGTCCTCATCAGCCATATTCAGTTTTACCATTTCCCTCTGCTTGTCTCTCCCCTGCGAGTGTCCATCGCCATGCTAGGCTGGAGAAGGACGTAGCTCCTACAGGGAACAGCTTCCTGTAAAAGAGAGAGCAGGAGAGAGAGGGGTGATGACCACTTTCGTCATTCTTCCCAGTTCCCTCTGGGCTCTCTGTCACCTGGCGAATGCTTGGAGAGCCTTCAGTATATATCATCTGGTTTCCATGAGGTGTAATAGCCAGGCCCAGGAAGTAAGCCAATTTAGTACCCTCCCGGCACACCTGGCCCCAGTAACCTGTGGGGACATTATGGACCTCAAAGTCATTGTGTTCCTGCCCCCACTTGCCAGGCCAAGGGAAGTCAAACAGGTCCCTTCCCAAAACCGACTCAACTGGCCTTGGGTTTCCTGGGTTGAGGCTTTCTTTTCTTTTTTAACATTTATTTATTTATTTATGTATCTTTAGTTTTAGGCAGACACATTATTTTGTTTTTATGTGGTGCTGAGGATCGAACCCAGTGCCTCATGCATGCTAGGCGAGTGCTCTACCAGGGAGCCACAACCCCAGCTGTGGGTTGATGCTTTCTTTATAAAAATCTTCCTCCCATCATTGAGGTATTTTGAAGATTTATGGCTTCATCCAAGCCATGTCATTTCTGTACTTTCCTTCCAACCTTTCCAACATGCAGATGGTGCCCTCCTTGACCCTGATGGAGCTCTGAGCCTTAACTCTCCTCTCCCCGCATCCTCTGCTGACATGGGGCTACGGACAGAATGATGGTCTCATGTTGTCTCTGACCCCAAAGGCCATTTCAGACCTCGCTGAGTCTGTCTGGACTGTTCACCTAGTCTACATAGTCTTCCTTGCCCCTTGTGTGACCCCCACCTACCAATTCCAAGAAAGGTGGTGAGAAGGAGGCTTTCCTGCCAAGACCTGCAAGACTCCCTGGGGACTACAGGGGACTTGGCCCTTTTGTTTGTGGCTTTCTTTTGTTTTACTGAGACAGGCAGATTCAGAGATGATTATTTTCATTTGTTTTAGTTAGCTTTTCCATTGCTGTGATTAAATCACTCTGAAGAGGAAAAGTGTATTTTGGTTCACATAGTATTTGGGTTCCATAGCTCTGGACCAAAGGTGAGGCAAAATATCATGGCGGAAGAGTGTGGCGGAAGAAAGCAGCTCAGGACATGACAACCAGGAAGCAGAGAGAGAGAGAGAGAGAGAGAGAGATCTTCCCAACCAGGGACAAAATATAAACCCCAAAGTCTTGCCCCCAGTGACCCACCTCCTCCAACCACACCCCACCTATCTGCAGTTACCTCCAAGTTAATCCATATCAGTAGACTGATCTACTGATCAGGTTCTAACTCTCATAATCCAATCATTTACCTCTGAACATTCTTGTATTGTCACACATGAACTTTTGGGGGATACCTCCTATCCAAACAGTAACTATATCAGAATCATACTGTTTTTGACCAGAAAGAAACAGTGGCTCAAAAATGCTTCATTAACCTTATCCAGAGTACTTGAGGTAGCAAGTGGCCAAGGGTTGGGATAACCAGAGGAGTTCTTACAACACCTTGCTGTGTCCATTTAAAAAATTCTCTACCTGTTTAACATTTGAAAGCTCAGCCATAGTAAACACCTTTTAAAATTCATAAGTAGCTTATAAGACCAAATTTGACATCCCCTGCAATAATCGTATGAAGGGGCCTCATTATGTTCTTGTAGTTTCATGACCAGAATTGACTGACCATCTGACTTCAGAGAATTAGGGCCAGTTTTGTATGTGGCTGTGTAAAGAACCATACCACTGTGAGCATTGCTGAAATGTTTTTAAATGTTTAAACAGGTCTCAAGATAGGCTAGATTAGGGAAGTGACATTTTTGGAGGTGACAATACAAGTAGCTTATGGTATTTCTTATGATTCTTTTAGAAGTGCATTTGGCGATTCACTTTTTGTGTTATCCAGAGAGAACTTGTGTGTAATGTCTACCCAATGTCAACTTTTCTTTTCAGGTGACCTTCCAGGTCACTCCTCCATGCACCAGTGACAGGCATTACCAGCATCTTGGGCGGTGCTGCAACAGATGTGAACCAGGTATGCCAGCTTCTGGTACATTCCAGCATCTGCCAAAGTGGGTGCTTTTGCTGTTTTCCGTTTTGTTTTGTTTTTCCACCAGATGAAAAAAGGACTTGGATAGACTTTATTCAATAGATAAAATCTCCTTAAAAAAAAAAAAACTTTCAAAAACCGGTACTCAATTTATATTGAAACACAATTTTCTAGAACACTTTTTCTTGAGAAGGTAAGGTTGACAAAACCATATTTTAGCACTTTATGAGAAAATAATTTTAAATTGTTTTCACAGAAATTTTGTTTGGAATGACTGTACTGGAATTGTCAGTACTGAATCACCCAATCCTTGTTAGACCTTCTCCCATTTATCTGTCGAGGGGCAGACAGGGACTCGATACCACTTTCCCAACTGATCCACCAGAGTGCAGCCAAGCATTTCTACACTCCCAAGGAGCCCCGGGCCACTGGGCCCTCCTTCTTTCATTGTTTTGGGGAGAGGTGGGGAGTCACCTCACATTATAACAAGACCCTGTGGATGTTTCAGCTTCAGATATTCCCGGATGTGCATACCCAAGTCCAGTGATTTTTAAGAGTGGGTTCACATGCATGGGTGTTGGTCAAACTGAGTTAACCATGAGCCCACAAGACGTCGACTACCCAGAGGGGAGTTTGAAGATGGGAGCAGGGAGGGGATAACAAAGTTCCTTTTGCTTATACACTTTATTCCAAGTGGGTTCCAGCAACCCTTCGAGTTTTTAGAGCCCAGTTTAAAGCTTTAGTTCTACTCATAGGCAGAGTTATGGGATGCAACATGTGACTAGTCTTACCTTTACATGGATAAGGGACTGCCATGACCACAGCCAACCCAGGAGGGGACCCAAGGAGGCACAGCAAACTTGGGACAGGGTGTTTGAGCAGAGCCCCAGCTACAGTGCTCATGGTGCAGTGTAGCCTCATCCCATGTGTAGCATTATCTCAGGGGTCATCTTGGGATCATGATCATTTAGATTACAACAATAGTATGATGCTTTATTTATTTATTTATTTGGTGTTGGGGGCCACACACATGCTAGGTACATGCTCTTTTCTTGAGCTACATACACCCCTGGCCAGTGTGTTCTTTTGTTTTGGTTTTGGTTAATGTGTTTTGGGATGCTGTTTTGTGTTAGGCTGTGATTGTTGGTTTTGATTGGTGCATTTTTCCTCCTTCCAATTTAAGGAAAGTACATGTCTTCCAAATGCACTACTACCTCTGACAGTGTGTGTCTGCCCTGTGGCCCGGATGAATATTTGGATACCTGGAATGAGGAAGATAAATGCTTGCTGCATAAGGTTTGCGATACAGGTGGGTTCGTCACATGGGTATGTCAGTGGCAAGTGTGGAAACCCAGTGTTCATCTCTGTCCTTCAAGTCTCCTCTTCTATATAAGCTTTTTAAGATATAGCCAATGCTATTTCTTTTGAAGGATACAGGAAGAAGTTATGATCGTGGACCCCCAGGAAGACGGGTTTTAGATTTCCAAAGCCCTGGTTAAAGCTCTTCATTGAGAACCCTCATGTTCAGGAATATGTTTATGCTGCATTTAATCATGAACACATTTTACAGGGGACAAAATGTTTTCATGATATTCCCACAGTTGAACCATTGGATTCTCCCTAACCCCTTTGAACCCTGTAAGGTAGCCATGCCTGAATCATTTTAAAAATGGGGGGGGCTGGGGATGTGGCTCAAGCGGTAGCGCGCTCGCCTGGCATGCGTGTGGCCCGGGTTCGATCCTCAGCACCACATACAATGATGCTGTGTCCACCCATAACTGAAAAATAAATATTAAAAAAAATTTTAAAAATGGGGAAACTGAGGCTCGGGTTGAATGACTTCTCCAAACTTAACAGATGAGAAGCAGGACTCAAAACCTGTTTTTGGACTCATAAACCTTTTTCCTACATCATAAATGTTTGATTAGCTCTGGAGCTTGATCTCCTTACCATGCAACTTTAATTTTTTTTGCCTCTTTTTTTTTTTAAAGTTATAATTTGTAATAATCAGGATCAAACTATATCTCTCGGGTCTCCTAACCTAAAGGGCCTTTTTTTCTAGTCTGTTTTCATGTGAAGAATCTGTGATTCTCTATTCCCCATGGAGCTTCCAATCTGGATTTGGCTGCTTATACCCCCTCAATGCCATTTAACCTCCTCTTCTGTCCCCCATGTTCCCTGTAAATTAGCTGCTAGATCTTGAGGTTGATCAGATTCTGATTTGCTTTTTCTTTTGTTGGCAAAACCCTTTCATACATGGTATAGTTCATGTTTATAATATGATATTGGAATCACAAAACGGCAGCTTCTCTCTCCTTTTGTGACATTGCCAGCTGCTGCGGAACCTGGCCCAGATCCCTTTTCTTTAGGGGCTGCAGAAAGGTGGCGTTCTAATTCTGTCCTCCCTTCTTCCTTTATTCATTTCCTTCTCCGTTTTCCTCATCAACTATTTGTTAGTACAGTACATTTAGGAAAGGTGGAACACGTGCATGTAACTTCTTATCACTTTTCAGAATGATGACTCCATCATCCAGCTTTCTTCCAGGGATTCGTGTTAATATTATGAACTTGTGAATTTAAACATATTTGAGGTGTTTCACTCCATTGCAGTCACTGTTAATTTTGGTGGTGCTCAAAGTACCCCACCTCTTTGAGGTGGCCCTACGTTTTCTGGTACAACTCCAGGCATGGTCAAGGGCTCTGTTGATTCCAGGCTTACCTTGGACATTTCCTGCCAGAGCTGTGAACAGTCATTTCTCCAAGGATTCCTGATTGTTTTTAGTGTGACATTTTATTTAGTGACTTCAGTGCAGTTGCTAGGAATCCATTGCTACCGAGTTAATTCTTGTTTACAGTTTTCCCCTGCCATTGGAAAAAAAAATTTTTAACAGTACTTTTAAAAACCATAATTTTTCTAATGTGCTAGAGACAGCTGTCGCACTTGGGGTTGGAGAAGGTAACATGGAAACTCCACTGAGCAGAAGCATCTGATCAAGTCTTTTATTTCCCACTGCTTAGTAATGACCTTGACTCACTGCTGTCTCCTGGAAATACAGATTCATTCTGTCTACTGCCAAAATTGATTAAAACCTAAAACTGAGTGCATGAAAATATTTTAATATATTTCAAAATTATTCACCACCCCACAGATTTACATTTTTACAGTTGAGTACAATACTGGGAGTACTTAGAATTTTCCAGAGAGGAGGTATGTGTCCATATATGTTCTCATGTATTATGTACATGTTTCTGCATATTGGCCTTGGTACTGCACAGTGGACCCAAGTGAGTACCAAGTGAGCACAGAAGGCAATGAGAACTTCCCTGGATTCACCATACTTAGGTCTAAAAAGAATGGAAACAGAGTGTCCCCTACTTGCTGGTATAACTTGAGACAAGGAATGGTTTGTTCATCTCTTTTTCCCTGGGAATTCCTATATGTATTCAGGAATATAAAATACAAAGGCCATTTGAAGAATCCAAGTGAGTGGAGTCATACAGGGGTTCCAGGTCTGTTTTAAATAATGTTATATCTGTGTGTGTGTGTGTGTGTGTGTGTGTGTGTGTGTGTGGTACATTGAGTCTCTAGTCAAAGCAGTTATGACCTACAGTCACCATAAACACTGAATGGGTAATCCTGAAACACTGCCCCTGGGGGAAGTATAGGGTTGGGTCCCTGAAACCCACTTTCACCCACTGACCAACGCGCAACCTGGCTTTATGTGTGTCACTGTTTATTTGATGTGTTGTTGACCGTTAGCATTGCACTCATGGCCAACAGCACGTCGCGTGCCATACGGTTATCCAACACATGTGTCTTCTCTGTCAGGCCCGCCACAGCCTTCTGGCACTCAGGAACACTAGACAGAACTTCAGCACTACCTGGGGCCATGTTAAACAGGGAAATCACCAACGAAAAGCACACAAAAATGGGTAAAACGTGGCAGACTGAAAACAGACTCTCATTTCCAGTGTGAGAGCTGCAATGAGAAGGCTGGGCACCCTTCCTCTGACCTCTGCTGGGAACCTGTGTGTGGAGTGACTCAGAGATTTACATGGTTCTACGCACATCCACAGATTCCTGCAGAAGTGCTGAGTATTGATTTGGGGGTTACAAATACATTTTAGCAAATAGGTGAATTCACAAGTACAAATCTATAAAGAAGATTGTGTGTGTGTGTGTGTGTGTGTGTGTGTGTGTGTGTAGTTTATAACAGATAAATTCCCATGTAACTGTATTCCAGAAAAACTGGAAGGGGCCAGGAGATTTGGAGTAAAAAGACAAGCACTTTTTGTGCTGTGAAAAAAAGAGGAAAATGTGTTAGCTTCCTTTGGGATCAAGACTGATTCCCAAGTATGCCTTCCCACCTGCCTCTGTACTTTCTCCACTTACCTAACCCCCTTTAGGAACTCAGGATGAGTCCTGAATCTCCAGGAACCCTGTTCTCTTGGGTCCAGACTAGCCTTGCTATTAATAATATTGATGATTTTTTAAAAAAATTTTTTATACTAATGGAGCACAACTTTTCATCTCTCTGGTTGTACCTGACCTAGAGTCACCCTTCGTGCAATCACACCCGTACATAGGGTAGGAATGTCCGTCTCATTCCACCAATATCGATGATATTTGAGTGCACTAAAAATCAAGACACTGTGCTCAATCTTGCTAGGAGTCCTAAATCTTGCTATTAACATGAAAACTGACTTTTTAGACAGCTCACAAAACTGGTGGTTATTAGGGAGAGGAAAAGGGGGGGGGGGACCTGCTGGCACACAGGAAGTGCTAGGAGGAACTGGGGACTTCCTTAAACCGTGTCCTGATGAATCACTGTAAGCCAGCCAGGCGGCCTGCTGGGGGGTGGCTCGGGCTGGGTGACAGCTGGGTGACAGGGGCGGGCGTCAGAGCCTTCCTGCGCTCGGGGGCTGCTGACCTGTCTCTTGTCTCCCGCAGGCAAGGCCCTGGTGGCGGTGGACCCCGGCAACCGCACGGCCCCGCGGCGCTGCGCCTGCACCGCCGGGTACCACTGGAGCCAGGACTGCGAGTGCTGCCGCCGCAACGCCGAGTGCGCGCCGGGCTTCGGCGCCCAGCACCCCTGTACGGTTGCAGAACGCGCGCACCGCAGCCACTACAGCACGGCTACACCGGGCAAAGGGAGCCCCAGACAGCTCTAACACCTGTCACTAAGGCTCCAGGGAGCCAGGGGAACGGAGGAGGGGGAAGGGAGGGCGGTGCTTTGATCTTCCAGGAGCTGTAGGCGCAGGCAAGACCTGGGAATGGATCCCCAGCTCGGGTTCCCCAAAGAGAATGTGAGCAGCCACTGTGGCACTCCGGTTTGTCCCACATAGGGACAAACAGGATAGCGCAGCGATCCTCCAACATTTTTTTTTTTTTTTAATTGTGCACATCCTTAGAAGAAATGTAAAACAAACATGCTCCTCTGGGCACGTTTTGAAGTTGACATCTACAATTTTTGTTACAAATTTCAAGAGTGACTTATCAGGGAATTACAACTGCAGTAATGCTTTTTAAAACAGTCCTTGGAATGTAAACAAAATAGCAATTTGATACCCACCATCATCCAATTAAACAGGCACTAGTCTATTTAACTGTTGGGAATTTAAAAGATCCTTTCTTTCCTTGGTAGCCACTCCACCTTCCCTACAGAATTTTATCCTAGTATATTTTTGTGCTTGGAGTACTTACACTAATCACCCTATTATATTCCTTTACACTAAAACAATCGGTGCATATTTAAAAATCTCAATTAAAAAAAAAACTATTGGGACAAACTTCTCAGTGTTAAAAACATTCCCTCCACCCCAGACTGATCGTCACCACATTTATTATCATACAATTAGTCAAAAATGAATATGTTTTGCTATACAATAATCATAAAAGTAAAAGATTTTTGCTGGGAGCAGTGGCACACATCTGTAATCCCAGTGACTGAGGCCATAGGATCACAAGTTCAAGGCCAGCCTCAGCAATTTAGCAAGACCTTTTCTCAAAATAAAAAATGAAAAGGACTGGGATGTAGCTCAATGGTAAAGCACAGCTGGGTTAAACCCTTAGTATGTGCATATTAAAAAAAAAAAAGGCAAAAGCTTTTGAACTTCACAAGTGGGCTTTTTTCCCAATTATATATTCACAGTTGAATATTACTTACTTATTGCTAAAATGCAACAGAATTGAACATCAATTCTGTTTCCACTTTTTGTTGTTTTAGAAAGAAAGACTTATGTTATAGGAGTGTCCACTATCACAAAGTGACATGACCTAAGTTATCCTTAATGATCTATCATTTGAGAACTCAATTGTGTCCTTCACCTTTGTTTAAAGTAAAGAAATAGAGATCCTTTAGACTTATAAAAGTATTTCTTAGAATCATTTGCTTTCCTTGTTTCTGGGAAACACAACAAAGTAGTTTTTTCAAGATGTAACAGATGATTATTTATGACTGTTCATCTGTAACTCAGAGGCACTTTTTTAAAAACCAAAATACTTGCTGGATGCAAGCGTGCACACCCATAATCCCAGAGGCTCCAGAGGCTGAAGTAGGAGGATCAAAATGTCAAAGCCAGCCTCAGCAATTTAACAAGACCCCAAGCAAATTAGCAAGACCCTGTCTCAAAATAAAAAATAAAAAAGGGCTTATCACTGAGTTCAGCTGGCACAGTCAGCCCTTATTTTCAAATAGATTAACTAACCCATGTATACTTTCTCTTAGAAAAAGCCTAATTTTTAAGTTATTAAAATACACCTTCCTATCACAGCTAGTTCCCTCTGAATTCTGATTCTCAGAAGAAGCCCAGAGCCTTTGCACAAGTTTGTCACCTGCCTGAAACAGGTGCTGCCACCTGCAGGTTCCTGGTCCAAGTTGTCTGCCTTTCGCCTTTGGGAATAATGTATATTTGACAGTAGAAAATAGAGGGACCAAAGTGGATGAATGAAAATTTCCTTTCTGCCCCACCTTGCACACATTTAAATTCAGAACGGCTCAACCTGGTCCCCAATTCCCCATTTGTATGACCATACTTTTGTTCTGAATAGATAGGGAAAGACAGACGCTGGACGGGCTACAGAAAATTTTCCATCACCAGTATTTTTACTTTTTTGCTCTGTCCAACATGTCTGAAGCTTGGCACCATGCAGGATTTGGGGTAGATGCAAAGCATGCCTTCCTTTGTAGGTAGGAAAAGCATGATTGTAAGAGGGAGAAGGAAAGAGCAGTCTGCAGGATGCTTCTGGCCTGTCAGTCTTACCAAGTCCAATGTGTGGGAATTAATACCCTCAAAACTTTATATTCCTGGAAATGCCTTGGGAACCCTCTTTGTTTTTGAGGGATTCTCAGAATCTTCTAGATTGTATTCATCTTTTAATTTGAATTAATTCATATTTGAATTAATGTGACCTACTAGATGTTAACTGGCCTTTGTTGAATCAATATCAAGGCAAATTATATTGCCAAATCCGGGGACAGGTGCTTTGCTTACTGAGCCAAATTGCAGAAGTTAAGAATGTACTTTCTATTTGACTTTGGACAAAGAAAGTTTAATTCCTTATTTTTCATGTTATATTCATGAAAATAAATCACAGAAGTGCTACTAATTTCAAGAGTAATTTGTGGTTTTGGTACCACCAGTTGCCCGATTATGATTTATAGTAGCCACCAAAGGGTCATCTCATCATGTGCCAATTGCAGTAAAGGTAATTGAGGAAATCTGAGGCACTTCTCATTTTAATAATGCAGTTTATGAGGACTATAAGTGAGTCAAGTCAAGTTTACTAACAAGGATCAACACCTGCTTTGAGCTCTGTGGATTAAGGAGGGGTCCAAATCCCTCCCACCATTTGTGCTTATAAATAAAGTTTTATTGGAAATTAGCAATACCCATTTGTTTTACATCTTGTCTATGATTGCTTTTGTGCTATGAGTAGTTGCAGCAGAGACCACAAGGGCTCCACTGTGCAGCCCTTTGCAGCAAAAGTTGGACACCAAACTTTTGTTTTAAAAGAGAGACCCACAGGGTTTTGTTTTGTTTTGTTTTAGAAACCTTTTTTGACACTTCAATAATATTTGAACGTGTGAGATTAAGCTTACAAGAAGGGATCAGAACAATAAATTTCCCTTAAAAGCAGTAATAGAATTGACATCCCCTGCAGAAGAAGGCTGGGTTAGCCATCTGTCAGGGCAGAAAGGGGATAGCAGAGGTGCCTGCCTAAAACAGAGCCAGACGACAAAAACAGGAGACACAGGCTCCCCCAGGCCAGGAAACAGCACGGGGGTGCTCAGGATGGTCTTCTGAGCAGTAGAGGCTCAGGACCAGAGTCGCCTGGACCTGGACTTCAGATAGTGGCAGTACTGACCCCTGCCTTTCTGAACACAATTCTGCAGCTCACCCCTGGTATCAGAACTGCTTCCTAAGCCCAAGGAGGGGGCTTGGGGGGAGGGGGAGTTAGAGCCATTAGACACCCCGTGGCAAGGCCCCGAGGGGGGGGAGCAGGGGGCAGCGGTTCTTCTGGAACATCTGACTGATCTCTAAGTGTCCTTGCTTGTTTCTGTTGGTTTTTGTGACAGTGCAGCTCAACATGGACACGGTGTGCAAGCCTTGCCACGTAGGCTACTTCTCAGATGCCTTTTCTTCCACGGACAAATGCAAACCCTGGACCAAGTAAGTGACCACAAAGGGACCAAAGGAATTTTTAAGTTTTAAACAATCCAACCTCCACTGTCTTGTCAATTCAATGTGGGAAAAATAAACCAGTCAAGCCACTTCTTCATCCGGGTGTGTATTGGCACTTCATGCCACTTTTTAGATTCAATAGTCAGTGACTTATAGCTGCAGTTTCTTTTTTCCTTTTTCTAACCTAGTTTGGTTGAAAATGATTTATAATTTTATAACTTGTGTTTGTGTGTGTGGTGCTGCGGGTTGAACCCAGGGCCTCCAGCATACTCTGCAGGCATTCAACTGAGCCGCACCTCCAGCCCGATTCATGACATTTATTACCATTCACTTATCACCACTGCTTTTCCAAACTTCCCAATGTCATCATGGTTTATTCATCCAGAAACTTGTGGGTATGTGTTGTGTGTATGCGTATAGAAACTTTCTAGCTATATAAATGTTTGCACCTTGAGTTTTTTCACTTATTTTTTTAAGCACTTTCTATATTTATTCACAGTGTGTGTGTGTGTGTGTGTGTGTGTGTCTTTATAGCTAAATAGTATTTCTTTCTTGCTCTTTTTTGGGGGGTACCAGGAATTGAATATTGAATCCGGGGGTGCTTAACCACTGAGCCACATCCCCAGCCCTTTTTATATTTTGTTTTGACACAGAGCCTCACCAAGTTGCTCAGGGTCTTGCTAAGTTGCTGAGGCTAGCTTTGAACTCATGATCCTCCTACCTCAGCCTCCTTAGACACTGGATTTACAGGAGTGCACCACCATGCCCAGCTCTGAATAGTGTTTCATCATAGAAATGTACCATAATTTGTTTAATAAATAGAGAATTTCAGTAGGGACTGACAGGGATTTGCACTGTTCTTAGTCTCTTACAGTAATAACTAATTTTGTAATGAATAATCCCATAAATAGTTTAAGAATCTCCTATCCAATATGCTTGGAGCCAGAATTATTTCTGATTTCAGCTATATATATCTACATAATGAGTTTGTCTTGGGGAAGGGATCCAAGTCTAAACACAAACTTCATTTATGTTTGATATATACCTTATACATATAGCCTGGAGGTAATATTTTGCAATATTTTCAATTATTTTTGTGAGTAAACCTAAATTTAGTGGTTTGGGATTTTCTCTTTGTGGTGTCATATCAGTGCTCAAAAAATTTTAGATTTTCAAGCAGTTCAGACGGTAGGGATGCTCAATCTGTATATTTAGTGGCACCCTTTTGTGAGTCTGTCTGTAGTGGAATTTCTGGGTCCTGGGTCATTGCATACTTATTGTTGAATACTAATAATCAATATAGTGATTCTTTTACTTTCTCATATATTCTGATTAAATGTTAATTTTCTGATCCATTTATCCAAGTTTTATGTTGAAAAGTGTTTTTCAACTTCAAAAGAGTATTTGTCTAACATTTATCACTGAGCCACAGGAATTGAAGCATTTGGTTGTACTTTATTGTAGCCCCATTTTTGCCCTTGCTGACCATGTCCTCAGGAGTCCTCAGAGATTTGTCCTCCTCCGTGATATTCTACTTCCTTGAGGAAGGTCCTGGGATTTGGAATTGCAGGAAGATGCAAGTCCCCTCCTGAAGGAACTGGCAATCTACCGCAGTAGATTGTTTGGTGTTTTAAACAAGAATATTAAACCAAAGCACTTAACTGCTTTTCCCTCCGCAGCTGTACCATCCTTGGAAAGATAGAGGAATATCCCGGAACAGAGAAATCAGACGTGGTTTGCAGTTCTTCCCTGCCATCTAGAAAACCACCGAAGGGTATGCTTGACAGAGTCTGTGGGAGGGTAGACGTGCCCAGCATGGTCAGCTGTCTCGCTCTCTCCAGAATCCCAGGCTGCACGTGCAGGGGTTCAGCTGTCCCTTTTCATTTCATCCTGACCACGGTCAGCTCAATATTTCATTTGTATCAGTATTTCAATTCCAGATATGATTTTTATTTGATTAATGGATTGCTGTGCTGAGACTGAACCCAGGGCTTTGTGCATACCAGGCTACTTGATCATTTTTTTTTTACAATGGAATAACTGATAATGTATTAATGTACAAAGAAAAGAAAAGAAAAAGCTGCAAACATAAATGAAAATGCCCAGACATGGAAGGGTGTTGGTGGTCACAGTGAGAGTATTCATGGGGAAACTGGTCATCAACCAGAGGAAACAATTTGTGAGAATCCAGCAGTCATTATTTGTGGAACATTATTTGTGGAATCCATCAATGTTATACAATTTCAAAGACAGACAGAAAGATGCTGGTTACTCTGGGTGAGTGGGTCAGTGTGCCAGTGGGTCTGCACACTGGAAGAGATGGCAGAAGTGGCAAGAAGACCTTTCTACTAAATCAAGAGAATGCCAGCCACAGGGCAATAGAGCTAACAGGTTGTGGCCAAGAAAATCAGAGGTCTAGATTTGACATCCTAGGGAACAGGAGCAGAAGGGCACTAAAGTATCTGGATATGGAGTTACACACTCAGAGGAGAGATTTTTTTAAAAGACCATTTTGAAGATAGCATGAAAATAACTGAGGGAACTAAAGGTTATTCTGAAATGAGAGAAGGAAAGGAAAGGTCATGGTCCAGGAAACCAAAGGTGTGGGATACAGAGGTGCTAGCAATGAGGCGATGGAGGAGGGAGGAATGAAGGAAGTGGAGGCATCCACATTGTATCATAGAGAAATAACAGAAATGCTTCCCAGAGGGGCCGTTGTGTTCTCATAGCCAGCAAAACCCTGGTGCCATGTTGGTATTTGGACAGCAGTGTGATGAGGTCTTCCAGCTGGTCAGTGAGGGGTTCTGGAGGCAAGCAGAGGTGAAGCAGGATCGTGGGTGCATGTGACTAGAGTTGTTCTTAAGGACGTAATCATGGAGACATAGTGATGCGCTGGGGTGGCCTCCAGTGCAGTGAAGCCAGACCAGCAGGGTGGGCGAGGTGGGGAGCCAACCCTTCAGACTGTGAGTGCTCCCTGGCAAATGTAGTCCGGGGTGGGGAGCGTCCTACTTCTGATATCCCAGACCCACATCTTTGATCCTGGGATTAGATTTATAAGGTTTTGTTTTTAAATGTAATAAAATTACATAATCTTTAATGCCATATTTCTCATTTTCTTCCAATGCAGAACCACGGATTTACTTGCCCAGTTTAATTATTCTGCTTCTCTTCATATCTGTGGCCTTAATTGCCATCGTCGTCTTTGGCATTTACCATAGGAAAAAAGGGAAAGCGCTAACAGGTATTGTGTCTATGCTGGTGCTTGAGAGATAGTCTTCAAGGAAATAGATACAGTTCTAGGCAAATGCTTTGGAATAGGAGTACATTGTCCACTGACTGTCTATGGGACCTGCTTAAGTAAGTGCCTTGAGATGACTGTACTTAAAGGCAAAACACCCTTTGTATCTTAGTCATTGTTCTCCAGCAAAATAAAATAAAAGCAAAACAAGAAGCCAACATTGTGCCTATTTCTATAAACGCTAACAAGAATATCCCAACATTCAGGAAACTGATGACTTGTGAGCTTGTGTTTAAGCTGTAGAGCATGCAGCAGCACACATGCAGGGGGTTGCTTGCTTTTATCCTGGAATATATCCATTTTCCATGAACCCATGTGAAACAGAATGTGCAGATAAATGGCAGGTGAGGTTTTGATTAGGGTGTTATCTTGAAATGTGAATCTAAAATTATGAAAATGACTTACCTTACATTTAGTCAAAATGAGGTGCTCATTCTTAGAATGGAAAATCAAGTGTTAATTTGGATGGTATCTTGAAACATCACATCATAATTGGCTTTTATTCGACAAAACTAAAAGAATCATTTTTATTCAAGGACTCACGTCTCCCCTAGGTTTGCTAAAGATGCTTCTTAGTACTTCCCTGCTCAAATCATTCTCTTCTGGAGCACCTGACATTCCCCCATCCTTTCCACTCCCTATGCTCACCTGTTTACCTCGTCCAATTCTGCTCTCCGTGAACTTCGTGGATCCCTGTATGTCTTGCTATTTTTATTACTATTTGCATTGCCTAATATAACACCGGCAGTCAAAATATTAATTAAAAAGCCAGCTGTTAAGCAGAGAGCAGTGTTTGAGTGGGGCCCATCTTTTTAAAGAGGCCATTCATTACTGAGGGAATTAAAGGATATTGTCAAAAAGTGAGGAGAGGAAAGGCCACAGTCCAGGGAAACCAAGGGTTCTTGGTGTAAAGTTTTTAGCAATGAAGTGATGGAGGAGAGATGAAGGAAATGGTAGTCCACACTGTGTCGTAGATAAAATGTCAGAAATGCTGCCCAGGGTGGCCTGGGCAGTGATGCAGTTTTACTTCCTTGACGTCATAGCTGGGGGTTTGGATGATGAGGCCCCATTGTTCAGATGATGAGGACCACTTGAACAGTCGTGTTGAGGCGAGAGGACAGACTTCCTGATATTTTTTTGTTGTTGTGACTTTTAATAACATTTCCCACCCTATCTTATTGAGAAAAAAACAGACCTATCAATGACTTAGGGGATTATGATTCTTAGCTTTGTCCTCATCCATTCATTCCACATGTTTATTGGCCACCAAGGACTGGACTGGCGCTGGGCCGCAGTGTGGAGCGCCCCAGACTAGTGCACTCCTGGCGGAGGCAAGGCACATGTTGGGCTCTCAGAGTGAAACTGAAACCGAAAGGGTAGGAGTGGAGCTCCAGGTAGAGGTGGCAGAGGGTCTGTCCAGTCTTGGGGTCAGCCCGGGCACCTCAGAGGAGGAAACAGGTGAGCTAAGACCAGAAAGACCAGCTGGAATTTACTAGCCTGGAGGGAATCAAGGAGGAGCCCAAGCACACCCACTGAGAGGACCACGTAAAGGGGAGCATGGTGAGAGGGGGGTGAAAGAGTCACGAAGCTGGAGCAGAAAGTTGGGGACCCGGAGCAAGATGAGCCAGATGCCACAGCCCTTCAGACCTGCTAAGAAGTTCGCTCCTTATTCTTAGCCAAGGACATCAAGGACAACACTCTTGCTTTAGTGTAGAAAACAAATTTGGGGGTGCAGTAGGAGTGGATGCAGGTGCACCATCTTGGAAAGCTGTTGCTGTCCATTTCCCAGGGGAGAGACTTGTGCACAAGTATTATTACTTTTAGTACCCTTTGTGCTTGTCTAAAACTGAGTCCTGCAAGGAAAGAGCTGTGACTGTCATTTTACTTGGGATAATTTTATTTTGATTGAATTTCAAAATTATAGAAAAGAAGGAAGACTAATGGTGGTGATGATAGTGGTAACTGACATGTGTTGGATATTGCCTGTGCACCACATGGTTACATGCATTTTTACATGTGCTCAGGGAATCTTCACAAAGCACTACACGAGGCAGGAACTACTGTTTCCCCCTGTGCTGATGAGGAAACTGAGGCCCAGAGAGGTTAAATAAACTGTGCAAGGTCACATAATAGTCTACAGCATAAACGAGATAACATGTATGCTCTGCTTAGCACCATGTGGGCACGTTTCAGGGCTCAGTAGGTATGAGATGATTAGCATCTTTATGAACTGCAGTTATCTTCCACCAAAGGACTGATGACTCCGCTTCAATTTTAATTGCTAATCTAAAATGGAATATTCATTGAGGTGGGATAAAATTTTATCTTTGTATAATATGAATTCATAGTTTTTTTAAAAAAATTCATGGATCTGACTTTTTAGACTTTATCACTTCTATTTTATAAAAGTTAATGGCAGTGTCCTTTCCATATGCCACAGAACATATTCTGAGAAGCAAGAAGGCATAGTAGAAAAGGGGGACCCATCAGAACTCAGTGAGTCTGATGCTTAGCTCTCTAGCAGGCACCTCCCTTTTACTGTACATATATTTGAGCTCCTAGACATCTTCTTTTTACCTTACCATGCCTCAAAGTCAAAGAAAATGTGTTAAAGGAATGAGAACACCTGTAGACATCACAGCAGCTCTGGGAGCCCAGGTGTGCCCACAGGTATTTAGCAGAACACGAGTGGTTCATGGTTTGCTTTACGCAATACAGGAAGCTCTGTTTTTAATAGGAGTAAGGTGCCTTTGTAGCCTTTAAAGCAGTTCAATCATTTATATATTTATTTAATTGTTTATTTTCTTGCATGTATGGTGCTAAAGCTGGAACCCAGGGCCTGTATGCTCCAGGCAAGCCCTCTACCCCTAGCCTATGTGCCCCCAGCCCCAGCTGATTTATTTTTTAAGTGCTTTTACACCCAGGAATGGTCACTGAAACACTTGCAGTGGAGGATGTGTAAAGATAATATTGAACTGACTTGTGATCTTTAATAGTGAGCCACACAAACAGAAAATTATTGCTGACCTCACTTACATATGGACTCATAAAAGAAAAGAACCAAAAGTTCCATCTACAGGAAATGGGGAGTTGTACATCAAGGATACAAAATAGCAGATATGTAGGGTGGACAAATCCAGAGAACAATATTGTATTTAGGATTTTTGTGAAATGAGTCCATATCAGCTCCTGTTACACACACACCCCAAAATGTGTCACTGTGACATGATGGATAAGTTAATTTGCTTCACTCTAGAAACTTTTTTTTTTTGGTAAATATTTTTTAGTTGTAGTTAGACACAATACTTTCATTTTATTTATATATTTTTATGTGGTGCTAAGGATCGAACCCAGGGCCTCGCACGTGCTAGGGAAGCACTCTATCCCTGAGCCACAACCCCAGCCCCTCTAGAAACTTTTTGAGACCTACATTTGTCCTATAACATCAAAGTTATCAAAAAATTTTTGTTTTTAAGATAAAGAAATAGGAAATTATAATACGAAATCCTTATCCTTGCTTTGTTTTTCTAGCTAATTTGTGGCACTGGATCAATGATGCTTGCCGTCACATAGGTGGAAATAAGGTAAAGTTAAATTTCTTTGGGGTCTCCCTTAGGTCCTTGGAACAGTTATACTGCTTCAACTCTAACTCATCAACCATTGAGCCCCATTGCTTATTTAACACCTACATACATGGTGTGCAAACCTCAAATCCCACCATTGATCCCTACTGCATAACCCAGGGCTCATCATTCTTCGTTCTAGATGCCTCTTTTTCTTTATGTTTTATTCTGCTTTTTTTTTTTTTTTTTGTACTGTGGATTGAACCCAGAGACATCTACCACTGATCTGCATCCCTAGCCCTTTTGCATTTTATTTTGAGACTAGCCTGGATCTTGTGATCCTCCTGCCTCAGCCTCCCCAATTGCTGGGATTATAGGCGTGTGCCTTAGCATCCCAGCACTCCTTTAATTTTTTTGTTTTGTTTTGCTTTTGTGCTGCTGAGGATCAAACCCAAGGCACATGATGGGTAAGTGCTCTCCACTGGACCACACTCCAGTCCTCGTTCCTCTCTGTCACCTCTGTGTATATGTTATTTTTTTTTTAGTATAAATCTTGATTGCCTGGTACAGATTCTTAGGAGGAATGAGCTACCACTTTCATTTAATTTGCAATTATTTTGGTAACTTTTTATTTTGACATAATTTCAAAATTATACAAAATAGAATATTACAACCAACGTCCACAGCCCAGATTCACAAATGTTTACCTTTTATCACATTGCTTTATTCTTTGTTTTCTTTCTCTGTGCATGCATATGAAAATGCACATTTTTTTTCTTGAATCCCTGTAGAGTGAATAAAGGCAGTGTGTTCCCATATCCTTAAACACGTCAGTGTGTATTTCCTAAGAACAAGGACACTCTCATATACAACCATGGTACATTTATCAAAATCAAGATAGTATTAGAGTGAATATTGAATATTGAATATTCAAATTCCATTTTGTCCTTTAGATTTATTTTCTTAGGTATAAAAATCTATCAACTTTAAACCCTATGCTGACCTCTCTGGTTCCAGGATCTGGAACCCGGGATCCAGGATCCTTCTTGTCTCCCCTTTCTCATATTTAGATCTTCTGTCTCTAGCAGTAGGACACCTGGTTCCACTTGTTATCAATGTGTTCACTCGTTTGCTCAATTCTAGAACACACAGAAGGTAGGTTTAGAATTACTAACCTCTACCACAGCAAAGCACAGACCTACCAACTGGAGCTTCCAGTATAGCAACCAACTACAGTATCCAGTATGATGTCATTTTTGTATATTTATATTGAGGGTACAGAGTCAAAATACTGTGTTGAAACATTATGTGGGTTAGCTCTTTCCTCCCTTTTGTGTGGATATTCTATTCCTTTGAAATGCAGTAAGATCCATTCATTTCTGGTTGTGTTCCATTTTAGGATTCTCCTACACTCGATAATTTTGAATAGCACAAATAAAGTATGGCGTGGATGTGCCATCTGTACTTGTTATGGTGGAAATAATTAGTATAAACACTGTTTTCAGCAGTGTTTAGCTGAACATGTTCTAATAACTCTGGGTATTAACGCCTCTGCCTTCTGAATTTGTATCTGCAGGCGTCCTCAGGCGACAGCTGTCTCAGCGCTCCCTCGGCAGGCTCGAGTCAGTGTGAAGTGTGTGAAGGTGTCTTACTGCTGACGCTGGAGAAGATGGTTCCAGAAGCGATGTGCTGTGCAGACGGAGCTGGTGTCTGTGGGGGTGCGTGTGTGGGAGGTGAGCCCTGTGCACAGGGCGAAGATGCAGGGATGTTCTCCTTGGTCAGCGAGGTGGAGATCAAGGCGGACTCCAGCAGGCAGGTTCCTATGGAGGACGAGTACATGGACCGGCCCCCGCAGCCCCCAGAGTGTTTGCAGCTCCTGACCCAGCCTGGAAGCAAATCCGCACCCCCTTTCCCTGAACCACTGGAGGTGGGGGAGAATGACAGTTTAAGCCAGTGCTTCACGGGGACTGAGAGCACAGTGGACTCAGAAAGCTGCCACTTCACGGAGCCCCCGTGCAGAACTGATTGGATTCCCGTGTCCCCCGAAAAGTACTGGCAAAAAGAGGTGGAGGGTGGCAGCTATGCCCCCTGGGCAGCCAGCTCCAGCTTGGGGGACAGCTACACAGGATGTGGGATCCCTCCTGGGGAGGACCAGGAACCCCTTATGGGTTCCCTGAAACACGGACCTTTGCCCCAGTGTGCCCACGGCATGGGCCCTCCCTCTGAAGAAGTGGCTGGTGGCGCAGAGTGGGGAGACAAGCCTGAGGACGGGGCTGATGTAAGGCTTCCCAGCTCAGCAAGGGGAAGCGCTGGGTCTGGAACCGCCCCCAGTGACCAGCCACCTGCCACTGGTAAGTAATTCTCCTGGTCTCCCACAGTTGAGCAAAAAGCCCTATTCTTGGGCTAAGGTTTGGGGGCAGTTATCAGGCCATTTAGGGAAAAGGAAATTGACATGGGGAAAATTCAGCCTGACCATTTTCTCTTAATTAGTGTTTTTCCAGAGGGGTTTCGGTTTGGTGCACCTGTGTGGGGGCTTGTAGGCTGTGCCCACTGCTCTGTGGCTTCATCTTCTACTACTGGGCTATTAGGGCACCTATGAATATCCAGTTCACGTTAGTATCAGGCTTCTTGTGGTTAGAGTATTCCTTAAACCCCAGCATTGACCGCTGAAGGACAGAGTCAACACTGACCTCAGGACTGGCTAAATCAAGGTGTTCCTTCAGATTTATGGGTTTATTATTATTATTATTATTATTATTATTATTATTATTTTAGTTGTAGATGGACACAATGCCTTTATTTATTTTTATGTGGTGGTGCTGAGGATTGAACCCAGTGCCTCACATGTGCTAAGCAAGCACTCTACCACTGAGCCACAACCCCAGCCCCCCCGCCCCATTTCTGTTTTGGGGGGGTTTTGTTTAAAAAGCAACTTAGGCCTCTTAAAGGTCCCTCAGGGAAGCTCTTATAAATCTCAGGCTCTTGTAAATTTCAGGAGGACAAACAAAATTGTTTAATTGATCCTCGATTAACTAATATTTATTTGAGCAGCATTCTGGTTCTGTACCAAATTAACGATGCAGGAGAAGTGTCTTTTAATGCTTTTTAGGACCAGGCCCTTCATCACCACTACGTGTAATATGGTTATGGAACAGGAGGATGATTTACAATTTAGCATCATTATGGAAATTTATCACTGCAACACTGCTTGAGCAGGAACAAGCCACCAATGATAACATTATGACTCTTTTTCCTGAGGGTAAAACACCATCTGTTTTATTATGTAGTTACAAAGGACTTTGCGTCGAGCAGGGAGGGCTTCCTCTGGCTCTGGGAATCCTTAGCCCTATAAGGAGTCAGGGATGTCATTAAGAGTCTTCTGAAAGCTACAGACACTCTTTCCAGAAAAAAAAAATGAATATATGGATGCATACTATTTAAGGGACTTCACAAAATCTTCCAACTCTAAGAAGAAAAAAAAAATAGCTCATTCACAGGCCTCTCCTCCCTAGAGATGCTTTTTCTTTCAGGTCTCTTGATCTAGACTGTAAGTGGCGCTAGAGCTGCCCGAGAGTTATTTTGTAATCCTGGGGTGGCAGATCCCAGCCTAGCACAGAGGCTGCTCTGCCTCCCGGTAACAATGGCTGCAGGCTCCTTGGCCAAACAGCCATGCTGGTGTTTCCCAAGCAGTGTGGTTTGCTGCAGCTACACAAATGCACTGATTTATAAATTCTGTCCTATCAATTACCAGTCAAACTGAAAGAAGATACATTTGAGGATATTTTTAAAAGAACTGGTAGAATTTTCCTCCTGAAGACTTTAGAATGTATTTTGAAGATTTTAAGGAATTTCCATGACGAAGAATCGAGTTCTGTTATCTGTTTGCATTGTTCTGCATCTTTCTAGCCATTTGTTTTGGTTCTGTTGGTTCTGGAGAGACACTGAACCAGGTTTCAGGCTGTGGGGAATGAGAAGGCTGCAGCTCAGTCTGTGGCAGCAGCTGAGTCCTGGCAGTACCAAAGGACAGACCAGTTTTTCAATTGGTGACACGAGGAGATGGCATTTGCTACTGTGGGAGAAACATCATCAGTTCTTGGAAGAACCGGGTTGGGAAAATTTAAAGATTCTCTCTCCTCTCTTTAGTCTCTCTCTCTCTCTCTCTCTCTCTCACACACACACACACACACACACACACACACACACACACAAAACACTCAGTGTCACGAAGCCAAAAGCCAGATTGTTTGCTGTCCTGAGAAAGAGTGAAAACAGTGTCCTCCTCTGCTTCTTTTATTTCTCCAGTGCTAAACATTGAGGCTCAGAGGAAAGAAATAAAAAGGGTGTCATCAACCGAGTGGTGTTAATTTGCAAAGAGTTTACTCTGCTTTTTCCATCTTCAGTTGGTGCTTGGCCATGTACAGCATCCATGAGGAGTCTGCTGCGCTGTCACCAGCCAGTGGGCCAAGTTCCTTTTTGCCTGAGAAGCAGCAGGAGCCAGACTGATTTTAGAGGCTGTGTTTTTTTCTCTCTACAATTATGTCTACATGAACAGGCTGGTTTCTGGTCAAAATACCACATTTCCATTCTTTTTTGTTTAATTGTTATAATTTATGTGCTATAGAATGCATGAAAAAAGATGGCACTTGTAGGAGACATGAGAGAAGGGTCTGATCTCCTTCCATCTCGTGCTCTCAAGACCCGAGCGAGGTGGCCTCTTTCACTGTTTTTTTTTGTTTTGTTTTGTTTTTGTGTGTGTGTTGTTGTTGTTGTTTTATTTTGTTTTTTAACACCCAGGTATTATTTTGTTTATTTGTTTATTTAAACTTAGAACCAAACCAAGTGCTTTCTGATGACAATGTCTGGGGATTTCCGCAGGAAATTGTGTCTCCGTTGTGCCAGCATCTACAAGTGTAGACAACTTTAAAAAAATACCCAAAGTTGTTAAGGCGATTTTATTGATGCTAAATCTTAAGGAATAGTGAGAATTATTAGCAAAGACCAACGAAAGGGGAAATACCTGCTTTTGGTTATGTCTTAAACAGCCCTGCCTTAATTTAGGTATTTGATGATGCCTGATCCTGATAACAGGATGGTTATCTTGGTTATAAGCTCCTCACATGGAGTTAGAATTCTTACTGTGCCACTGAAGAATGGTAACTTCATATGGAAAAAGTAGCAACTGCTTATAATTAATGTGTCTATGGTTGGCCAACAAGTTGGCATTAGCTTCTGGTTAGTCGCTAGGTTCTGCTACTTCTGAGCTGGGGAGAGTTGCTTATTTACAGGGCCCCCAGCAATTCTTGATGAACTCTGGTGACATATTTGCTTTTCTATAAAACCTTTATTGAAGGTCTCTTAAGCTACAGTGACTTGGAAGATCTTGGAAGACAAGTAGGGATTGATGTTAGGGAATGAAGAAACTCAAAAAGAATCCATATGTTCCAAAGTATGGATCCTTCCCCAGCCTGTCCCATGCACTGGTCACTGTTTTTTTTTTTTTTTTTTTTTTTTTGGCAATGAGTCTTGGACATTTTCTAACTGAGCCTAGAGTCTATCACACAACCCAGTCCTAGTAGCCATAAACAATCAGTAGGGATTTCTATATTCTTGTCATGCCTTGTCTTTCTGGTATCTCAAAGGTATCTCAATCAATATGGATATGCACACTCATCCCACCAGTCAGAGTAGGCAGGCAACCAAAAGCACCATAGTTCCTCATTCATTCCCAGTGGGCTCTTAGGCCCCCACTTCTTTGGTCTGCTCTTAGAGGCTGGGTGAGAAGCAGAGGATGGAAGGACTGGCAGTGATCATCCTGGGCACACTGCACTGTCCTGAGCAGAGGAGGCAGAATCCACAGAGCAAAGGTGAGCCAGTTCATCCAAGTGGCACAGACTCCTCCAGAGCTTCCTGGTGGCCATGATGACTGGAGGGTGAACACACTTGTCTGACTCACCGTTGCTCCCCCATCCTCAGTCCCATCCCTGGGCCCACCTGCTTTTGGAATGACTGTTCTTGACTATCCATTTCCATCCTAGAAGGACAGGAAAAGGTTTTCCTATCTGAATTTTCCTCCCTTCCCTTTACTGCCCCCAGCAGTGGACAGGCCTCTAGTTTTTACTTTCTTCACTCTCCTTAGAATAAATGCCATGCACCAACTTTTCACTTTTAGCTAAGTGTTGTAAGGCAGGTACTCATTGGTCCACTGGTCCTGAATCTTTAAGTTAAAATCAGTATTTCATAATTTGCTTACTTGGTCATAATTGCTCAGCATCCATTGGTGCCAAAAGTCAATGCATTATTTCAAAATATATTTTTAAATTGTCCACTGTATACACCTTGTTTAATTTAGTGCCACCTCCCTTCTTTCTGTACCATTAGAGCTCATTTTGGAAGGATTTGGTCTTAAGGTCTTCCAAGTAATTTTCAAGCATGATTCAGAATGGAATTATTAAATATTGCTTCCTTTCCCTTATCTTCATATACCCAGTTTCTTCCAAACCTGAAACAGAGCTTGCATTTCCATAAAAAGGAAAATCACATGAGAAGCATATGGGTTAAATATATAATGTTATTTTATTTTAATTCCCAAAGAACCCAATGTAGCCTGGGTAGTCTGAGTGTATTTGTGTATATTTTTAGTTCTGTTACTTGGAAGAAAATCTACATGACAATTTGGTGGTATTATTTGGCATAGTTCTGGTGATTTAATATTCATATGTTATGCATTTTAAACAACTGTAATGAGCTTTTGAGAAGCGAAGTGTGCGTTACCTTGTTAAAAAATGTAAATTCTGTCAGGGATTGTGTTCTTAAACCTAAGCTTGTTCTTTCTGCCTGAGAAAAACAGATTCCACAGAGCCTGCTATATAAAGCATGGGTTTAGCAACGTATAAATCTTTCTGATCATAATGGGACACATCATTCGTTTATTGTTTCTGTTGACTTAGATGCTATTTTTAACACTCTCAAGTTATCAGAACATTTTTCTAGTTAAATCTCATTAAATACTAATGTTCAGTCAACTCATCCATTCCAAATGTTCAAATCCCCGACTTTATAAAAAAACCTCCATGTCATTCTGGTTTTCGGATCAATTTTTGGGTAGCCTTCAAGTAGCTTTCTACTGTTACGTGGCATTCAGAGACCGCAAGGTGGTTTTGCTATCCTAAAGATGACAGTTTCATCTGTGGTATTCTAGATATTAGTTACCAGCCACCGACAAAGTGCTTTGTGATGAGCTTTTTAATTACCCCCAGAACTCCTGTGGGGCAAATTCCTTGCCCAGTATCACAAGGCTAGGAAGCAACGAAGCCAGGATTCAAGTAGCTGACAGGGATCCCTGTCCTTTCAG